TTTATACCAAGTTTATATATATAATTTTATACATTATTAATTATAATATAAAATAATAATTCAAAAATAATAAAATAACAAAAATTATTTTTAACCACTATTTTAACAATACATTGCCACAACTATTACACATTTTTTTCCCACACACACAACAAATGACATGCATAACACTGACAATAATTTTCTTGCCTCTGGAATACATTGTTATTTTTATTTACCAAAATATATTGTAAGTGTGGAAAAATATATTTTTGCCATAGGATACAACTGTGGTGGTCCGTCCTTTTCCATATGGTCCGAGCACAGTCTCCATGTACGGCAGCCATGCACCCGCTGTACTGCCTGACCCCACCGGCCGAGCTGAACAGATCCTGGACTGGCACTTCTAATCTCGTCACCCAAGGTTGGCTCCAAGAGCGCTATGGTTTCAAGCACCTAACAGAGAGCTTTTGTTTGAGATCAGGCAGGCCTGCAGGAATGAGGGAAGCCACAGGACATTAAAACTGGCCAGCAGAAATCTGGCCACATCTGCCAACAAGAGCAGCTGATGTGTAATAATACAGCTTTTCAGTATGTCTTGTCATTCCACACTGCTCCTGTGATGGACACTGTACCAGCAGGTGAACATTTCTACTAGCAATAGTAGTCTAGTACTCAAGTACATGCAAAGCATTTTTGTGAATCACTGATTCTTCCAATAGCAAATGAGCCTAATATTTCTACACTCTTAAAAATAAAGGTGCTTCAAAAGGTTCTTCAAGCGATGCCATAGAAGAACCATTTTTGGTTCCACAAAGAACCATTCAGTCAAAGGTTCTTTAAAGAACCATCTCTTTCTTACCTTTTTATAATCTGAAGAACCTTCTTTCGCCACAAAGAACCTTTTGTGAAACAGAAAGGTTCTTCAGATGTTAAAGGTTCTTTATGGAACCATTTAGACAAAAAGGTTCTTCTATGGCATCGTGAAGCACCTTTATTTTTAAGAGTGTAGCAGGAAAACAACAAAAACAAAAGCTAGCTGTAGTTACACATTAATGTAAGCTAACATCTTTTACATTTTTTGGATTCAGGTTTTAACAAAGAAAACAGAGTATTATTGTAACATGATAGTACAGATCAATCAAAATACACACACACAGTTCACATTTCACATTACAACAAAGAAAGCTTGTTTAGCTCAAGAGCTCATTAGCTTTGCTACGACACACGTCCATTTAGCTCATCGGGAGGAGTTTATCATTATCAGAAATGCATTTCGAGGCCTGCTGGTGTTCGTTACATTGTAAAACGGGCTTGATGTGAACTGGCACACGCTACAGGAATGCGATCTTCCTGAGAGCTGCCAGATATTCAGTTACTGTGATGGGACAGGAGCATTAGCTTATGCAAAATACAGATACCATAGTAGTTGAATGGACCATGCTAATCCATTAAAACATCACAAGAAATTCTTAATGTTACTGTCTTTCTTCAAAAGACCTAGCAACACTTGTGGTCTTCATTTACTCAATATTATGGAAAAATGCATAAATAAATGCTAAAATAAAAAAGTTACAAATTTCTAGACTTTTTTAAAAAATTAATTATTAGCTTATGCAAAATACAGATACCATAGTAGTTGAATGGACCATGCTAATCCATTAAAACATCACAAGAAATTCTTAATGTTACTGTCTTTCTTCAAAAGACCTAGCAATAATTGTGGTCTTCATTTACTCAATATTATGGAAAAATGCATAAATAAATGCTAAAATAAAAAAGTTACAAATTTCTAGACTTTTTAAAAAAATTAATTATTTAATATAGGTATACATATTTTTGTTATATTGTACTTTAAGGTGTAAGAGGTCCTTTTATATTATAATATCAGTTGTAAAAATCTAAAAACATTTACTTAAAAGTGAAAATATAAATCTGAATAAAAGAAATAATAAATGATAAAAGTAAAAAGGGTATTACACTATACATTAGCATAAATAAAAAAAGATAAATCAATTTAAAAAATGTAAATAAAGAAATGTATGATATAAAATGTCCCAAAATTTATACAGACTGTTTCAGCAAGCAAATAAATAAATACATAAAATATAAAATTAAATTAAAACCAGCCTAAAGTGGGTTGCTGGTCTTAGCTGGCCATAAAACTGGTCAGTCTGGTTTGAAGGTTTTTTTTTTTTTTAGAGGTTTTGGCCACTTGTCAGCTAGTCAGGCTGGGGGATCAAATGGTTGACCACCTAAACCAGGTTAACCCAGCAAAGACCAGCAAACCACCTTATGCTATTCATATTACCTTGTTTCTGGCCACAGCATTTACTTAAGTTAGGACAAAAATCCAATTTCCAAAATCCATGTTTTTGGACAGACTTGAACCTAATTTAAAATTCAATCAAATGTACTCAAATTAACAAACAACAATGGCCAAAAAATAAATAAATAATCCCACTGTACAACCTGCACTATAGTATTTTGGAGACAATTTATGATTTTTTATCATATTCATATTACCTTGTTTCTGGCCACAGCATTTACTTAAATTAGGACAAAAATCCAGTTTCCAAAATCCATGTTTTTGGACAGACTTGAACCTAATTTAAAATTCAATCAAATGTACTCAAATTAACAAACAACAATGACCAAAAAATAAATAAATAATCCCACTGTACAACCTGCACTATAGTATTTTGGAGACAATTTATGAATTTTTATCATTAATGTTTTTGGAAATTTAAATATATACATTTTGAAAATATGATTTATTAAATAAAAGCAAATACTTAAAAAATAAACGGCACCATTATTCATTCTTTAGAGTATTGCAGTTTTTTGTAAGAGCTACATCACAAAATAAGCATGAAAGAACCATCTGAAAGCCTCTGATCTAAAACCAGCCAGGTCATCTTGTTTTCCAAGGGTGAATAAATGAGAAAACACCTGTAACTTCCTGCATGAGTTCCTGTGGCTCTGGTCTGTGTGTGATGTTGTGTAGGTGCCCTCCACTGGTTGAGCTGCCTTACAGATTCCACCGCTGCCTGCTGGGCCAAACAGATGATGGGACATACCATGAATTATGATGCTTTTCATCCCGATTTTTGGTGCAGAAGATATTCCTCATCATTTCTGCACTTTGATACGGGAAGACACTGCAGATCTGATCTGAATATAAATTATGAATCAAAAATGTGTGAGTACTCACCTGTCGTTTGATTGGTGGGAGCAGTTTGAATGGCAGGGGCTGGGGTTAGAAGTCCTGCCCCTTACCAAGATGGGGGGCTGGAAGGGTATAAAATGTATTTTGCTGGCCAGTCAAGCATAAGGAAGTCAAAAGCCCGTTTGCTGGTTGCTTTATGTCTGCTGCACAGTTTCCCACATAGACCTGTGCTAAAGATGCTGTCACGGTAAGTCAATGATGATCGATTCATAACAACCGATATCTCTGAAATTGACATCAGGGGAATAACTGATAGCTAAATGAGCAATTATTTATCAATATATATCAAGAATGAGCAGTGGATTGGTTTATCAATGTGCTTGAATGAGGAGTTTTTATGTTTATGCATTTATTTAAAGCAGCTTGCATTGAATTCAAAGTACATGCATTCATTCTTACATTCCTTAGGAATCAAACCCATAACTTTGGTGTTCCTAGCACTGTGTTTAAGCTGCAGGAATGATTTTTTTAATAGACTAAAAGCATGTTTTGTGTAGGATTTGATGCATATGACTTATATCTGGTTTAAAAGTCTGTGTTACTCTAATAATTTAATGCTGGGAATCTCGTTTAATAATAAAATGTGATATAATGTCTGATAACTGAATGCTTTATGATTAAAACATGCAAACTCGGTGCTAAGTATTACTTTTAACAATTACTTGTGTTTTTAAAAAGCCAAATCGATGAATTAAGTTGTATGCAAGTTCAAATAATATTAAAAGCATGCATTTCCCAAGAGAATTGTTGGATTTTAATGCCCATTTTCAGCTGCTTTTGAGAATCTGCATGAGAAATAGCTAATTTCAGGGTTGAATGTGCTTATTCTGGACTCTTATCCTTTTGCTTTCACAGAAATCTTGTAATTGCTTCAGTGGCTGTTGTGTTTCTGGCGTCCACCGTATCAACGGCTCCTGTTGAAGGTATGAGCTCTTTTCCCAAAGGGATTATTTAATGACACACTCCTATGTTTAACATACAGCGCCCATGTTCATTAAACTGCTCAATTATTTCTCCGGACAGATAAGGAGCCTGAGGAAAATGACTTTGAGGCTGAAGAGGGTGAAGAAGAACTGTCTGAGGAGGAAGAGGGTAGGGGATGAAGTTCTTTTAGATGTTACTTCATCAACATCCCGATGAGAGCCGATCGTACCACATCAAGAAGCTCATATTGTCGTTTGACACTAGATGTGATCCTGCAAAAGGACAAAATGAGAAGTTAATACTATAATGTTCATGATAAACGGTTTTAAAGTAAGCATGAATTTCTTTAAAAAATCCGTTCGGATTCATAAACCCATAAACACATCAAAGAGTGTAAATACAAAGTCTCAAAGAGAAAATAAAAGAGCATTTAACTTAAAACAGATCAGTGAATTCTAAACTCTGTGGACTCATATTATTCTGATAACAGTCTGCGAGGGATTCGGGACAGAAAGAGGAGAAGGGTAAAACAAAGGAGCGGTTGTTATAAACTGTATCGATTTTCCCTTTTCTTTACAGATGATGATGACTCCAAAGGTCAGCATATGAAGGGTGGGTGACAAGTTCACAACTTACCACCATTGTGCAAAACCTCAGTCATCTTTAATAATCACATAATATGTCATAAGTTACTTCAAAAGTCAGTCTTTTTTAATGAGGCTGAGCTATTCGAAACATTTGGGGTTCTGCCATAATCAGAAATTACACTTACAAAAAAGTACTGTGGTATTTTTGTCTTGTATTCTGTGATTTTTGGACATGGGATCAATGATAATACTTTGTTTTTCTAAGCTTGATCATTAAGATTTTAAAGTATGGTAACCATACAGTATCATAGTATATATATCAAAGCAGCATGCTATTATATGTTTTTTTTTTTGGACAACATATTCTTTTGAGTACTTTGGAGTATCATGGTAATACCATGATATTCCTAACAAAAATATTGTGATGTGAAAACCTAGTGCAGTGATGGTAATCTTATCGAACTTCGATATATACCATGATACTGAAATTCATGTATCATAATATTTTATATTTACAGTATTTGCAACATTCCTACAAGAGTACATGGATTTCAGTACCATAATATATTTTAAAATACCATGGTATTGCCATCTGATACAACCATAGTACCATAGTACTTTTTGTAAGGTAATTAAGATATATATATATAAAAAATTTGGGGTCGGTATTATTTTTTTTTATATAACAGTATACTATGCTCACCAACACTGCATTTATTTGACCAGAAATACAGTAAAAACAGTAATATTGTGAAAAATATTACAATTTTAAATAATTGTCTTCTATTTGAATATATTTCAAAATAAAATACTTGTGAAGTCACATGACCCTTCAGAAATCATTATGCAAAGAAAACATTTCTTATTTTTATCAATGTTGAAAACAGTTGTGTTGCTCAATATTTTTGCAGAAACTGATCAATTTTTTCAGGATTCTTTGATAAATAGAAAGATCAAAATCACAGCATTTATTTGGAACAGAAATCTTACATAACATTACCGAAATCTTTACTGTCAGTTTTGATCAATTTAATGCATAATTTCTGTTAAAGACTAAATTGACTGACCCCAAATTTTCGATAAATTACAGTGTTAAAGACTAAAGACTGATGTTACTCTTGTATTCAACTTGTAGCATTTAGTTCTAATGTGGTAGCGACATTGCAAAAACTAAAATCCGATCTAAAATGCACATAAAAGCCAATAAAAGCAACTTAAAATCTATATAGCTGCTTTATACAAGATGCAAAACCCCTTAAGCACATGTAAAATGAGTGTCTGTCCTTTCAGAAGCCACCTGGCCGGAATAGATTGATTGACCTGTGAGAAATGATCTCTGGGAATCTTAAGAATATGTTTCTTGTTCCTCTCCCTCTTTTCCCAAAGGAGCCGGATCGCAGCAGGCCACTGCAGCACCCAGAGGCTTGGGTAAGGTGAAGCTAATCCTCTTTAGAGCTGGAGGCAGAGAACACTGAACCTCTCAGCACTGGAAAATAGTTCACTGGGTGCACCCTACTCAGTAAGCAAAGTCAATCAGTACTTAATCTGGTTTAGGGATCAGGTATGTGGGGATTTTAGCTACGGTGGCTGAACGGCATTGCTCGATTTGTTAATAAATGTGGAAAGACGAAACATCGGGTGCACAGATCCGTGCAAAACAGAGGCCTGTAGCGCAGGGAGATTGCATGTTTGTGTGGCCGATGTTTCAGGACCTTGTTTAGACTGAAGGGCTGTTTTTCTCCAAGGTATAACTCCTGGCAGCGCCGTGGCAGGCGAATCCCCAAACGGTAAGGAAAGTCTACTCGATAACGCAAAAACAAGTTCTGTTCGGAGTGCATTAGCCTCTCATGGCCTCTGGTGAAAGGTGAATTTGTTGAAAGCTCAATGGCCACTTTTCAGGCCTTTCTGAAGTCCAATACATCTTTTGACAAAACCTTTGCTCTTGTTTCCCAGGTCAGAAACTTAATGGAGGCACTCAAACTGGCCAAGTCTGTAAGTGTGAACCTGATCTATCAGGGGCAAAACTTTCACACAAGTCGCACTTTAGAAAAGCAACACCGACTGACCTTATGTAGGAAATGCACTACAGAGCTACAATATACGCACAGGGTCGTAGCGGAACATCAGGAGGTCAAATCTAGATATCAGAAACTAAACTAGTGTTTTTGTCATTACAGCATCAGGCAGTACATCAACAGCTTCAAATGGAGCTTCAAACGGTAACCAGCATTTCAATCAGAATATTATAAAACCTGCTGCTGTAAAAAAGCCTAATATTACCTAATTTGACGATGCTGAGTTCAAAAATATCAATAAAAACTTCACATAAACTTTCACAAAATTATGTATTTATCTGCTTTAATGCACTTATGAAACAACAAAAGCAGCCAAATGTCAAAGGTTTTCACAAAAACAAGAATTCAAAATGTATAATTTAACTTACAATCTGCAAAGAATTATAAAAATGTTCAAATATGTTTTCACAAAATCTGTCATTTTCTGTTGCTGTTTGAATGTAGGAAAACATTCACAGATCTAGATCATGCTTGCATTTTCTTCTGTTGCTGGCCTTAATTCTAACCTTGAAATTATTGGCTGAGAATTTAACAAATAGTTGTACTGGGCTCAGAGAAAGATAGTAATATTGTCTTTATGGCCGTTTTTCCACTGATTAAGGGATAATTGAAGACTTCCTAACCTTACAAATGGTTGTAGAATGCAAAAATGCTACAAAATGCACATTGTATTTTGTGAGAAAATGACATGCTAGAGCAAAATAGGCACTATTTTTGGAATCAGCACCCCAAAAAAAAAAAACAACAACATTGGATTTCATTCTGAAAATGTGATGCAGGGTAGTGAATTATTAGTTTTGTTGTTTAATTAAACCACTAACTGCATGTCATTGGATTACTGGAGCATTTTCAGTATTGACGGCTATCCTTTATTGCTGTCCTCTCAGAAATATTTATTTGTGGGTTACAGGAAGTAACGGAAGAGACGGGTACTCTCGCCCATCTGGCTCTAGTTCTCATGGTACTGCACCTGTTCAGCTGCTGTATATGCTTTTCTTTTTGCCCTAACAAGTCGACTGCCTAATCACTGTATTTATTTCACTTACAGATGCAAGTTATGGTGGACAAGATGGGTCCAAATCAGAGATAGTTCCTCCAGGTACCTGATCACTGATTCTGGCCTAAAAAAAAGAAAAGAAAAAGCAAGTTACACATTTATATGGCATGGCATAAATACTAGCTATATACACTAAAAATACTAAAAGGTTTAATACTACTATTAAATTTTTTTTATATAATATATAACAATTTAACAATAACAAAAGTTTGGGGTCGGAGTAAAAGTATTAATTTCTTTAAAAAAATTTAAATAAAAATAAATTAATTAATTAATTGTTAAACAGTAGTGCATAACATGAAGAGTGATAAAGGGAATTGTTCTCAGGTGTAGGAGCTGGAGGAGCAGGTGCTAATGGAGGTTCAGGATCTAAAGTCCCTGGTAATGACATTTAGAAACAAAATTATTGTTCAAAATATGATCTCAAATATTTGAAATTTTAGAAGAAAAAAATAAAACATCGCTAGAGAAACCCAATATGTTTAATTTGTTTCAGGCACAGACGGGGGCGTCCATTCAGTGTCCATTTCTGTTGGTAAGAGGTTGTTCTTTTTATCTTAAGGCAGCCGTGCCTTATAATGTGTGTTTATATTATGCACATACAATCAAAATATAGCATTCACTTCACAATGAGATATCTTTGTCAATCTCACAGTGTCATCAGGTCAAGGGTCATCAGGCCACACAGCAGCAGGTCATGGGTCCACAGTGATATCCAGCCACACGTTTGGCCGACCTTCAGCAGGACAGATGTCAGACGGTGTGGGTGTAGTTTCCTCTGAGGTCCAATCACAGCCTGCAGGTATTTCAATCAAAAAGATGGAATAGTTCACCCAAAACTGAAAATTTGCTGAAAATGTACTGACCCTCAGGCCATCCAAGTTGTAGATGTGCATTAAAGATGAGCTTCTTCACTAAAACAGATCTGGAGAAATTTTGCATCACTTGCGGTGAATGGGTGCCGTCAGAATGAGAGTCCAAACAGCTGATAAAAACATCACAATAATTCACACGACTCCAGCCCATCAATTCACTTCTTGTAGAGCTGCATGTTCGTAAGCAACAAATCCATCGTTAACCAGTTTTTAACTTCAAACCGTTGTTTCTGGCCTAGATACCAAAATTCATAATGCTTCCTCCAGTTAAAAAGTCCATCCCCTGTTGTCCTCTCACATCAAAATCCACCAAAATATTTATTTAGGACAGTTTTGGACTGTTTTCCCTTGTAAACGGTGCTTGATCTGTGCATATTTCTCTCCTGATTATGACGCTTTCACTGGAGGAAGCAATATTGGAAGTCGTGGCCTAATGGTTAGAGAGTCGGACTCGTAACCCAAAGGTTGGTGTGTGTGCACTTTGGATGGGTTAAATGCAGAGCACTAATTCCAAGTATGGGTCACGTCACTTTCATTATGGATAGAGGACTCATGCTTTAGCTGTGTGTAGTGTGGTTTGAAGTTAAAAACATTTTAATGATAGATTTGTTTCTTACAAACATGCAGCTTTTCACTATACAAGACATTAATTGATGAACTGGAGTTGTGTGGATTACTTGTAAGTTATTGCGATGTTTTTATCATCTGTTTGGATTCTCATTCTGACGGCACCCATTCACTGAGTCGGACTCGTAACCCAAAGGTTGCGGGTTTGAGTCTCGTACCGGCAGGGATTGTAGGTGGGGGGAGTGAATGTACAGCGCTCTCTCCCACCTTCAATACCACGACTGAGGTGCCCTTGAGCAACCCCCAACTGCTCCCCGGGCGCCGCAACATAAATGGCTGCCCACTGCTCCGGGTGTGTGTTCACGGTGTGTGTGCACTTTGGATGGGTTAAATGCAGAGCACTAATTCCAAGTATGGGTCACGTCACTTTCATTATGGATAGAGGACTCATGCTTTAGCTGTGTGTAGTGTGGTTTGAAGTTAAAAACATTTTAATGATAGATTTGTTTCTTACAAACATGCAGCTTTTCACTATACAAGACATTAATTGATGAACTGGAGTTGTGTGGATTACTTGTAAGTTATTGCGATGTTTTTATCATCTGTTTGGATTCTCATTCTGACGGCACCCATTCACTGCAGAGGATCCATTGGTGAGCAAGTGATGTAATGCTATATTTCTCAAAATCTGTTTCAATGAAGAAACTAACTTATCTACTCCTCTTGGATGGCCTGAGGGTGACTAAATTTTCAGCAACTTTTCAATTTCGGGTGAACTATTCCTTTAAATATAATTTTATATTTATTACATATAAGGCTTCAAGTAAAAGATCTATGCAAAAGTTATACAATCATAATGCTCTTTGCATGTGTGTTCAGGGTCAGAGGGATTCGCTCCACATACAGATGGCTCACAGTATGAAAATGGTATGTGTATAACAGGTTCTTGCTATTGTATCTCATGGAGGTCATTTCTTACTTTTTAAATGCTTTACACAATTATCAAGAACACATCTTGTCTTCTTGCATCAGGGGAAACCGCTCATGATGGATCTCAAATAGAGTCTCCAGGTGATGAACATTAAAGTTTACACACAGTTTACAAAATGTTTTCTATTAAATGATCATTTATATCATAATTATGTCATTTTTATCTTGTACATTCAGAAATCCCTGAGATAGAATCTAACGGTGAGTGTTATTGCGTGTTAATGCACATCAAATAGTAGTGTGCATCATATTAATCAGAATGAGTGATGTAGTCATTTTAATCGGGTTCCTCTCATAGGCAATGGACACAAACAGCTTCTGAATGGAGGAGAAACAGGATTTACAGGTGAGGAAACAATGAATATATGGTTTTAACCGACTGACATTTCATATGACACAAAAGATAAAAACTGACTAACGGTCTCTGATGTTAATTTGCTGTTTTTGTTGCAGGCTTGGATCATTTCATGGCAGGCACATCTCAGATACAAGGAACAGGTATAAAAGCATGATTTCAAATCCTACCATGGAAAAACCATTCATTTCTGAGATAAAAAGTATACTTACACTGTTTTCAATTTAAAAAAATGAACTTCTCTTCATGTGTTTGTCATATGTACGTATGCAGGTGGTTTTGATTCATTTGGCACAAGCCCTCACCTGGAAATTACAGGTAAACATCAGTTCAACTCTTCTGCCCTACAAAAGCAAAAAACACATTTTGAGTTATTGAGTTAAACCCAAAACCAAAACACTGATCAGAAGCTTCTACACTACTGTTCAAAACCTTGGGGTCAGTAAGATTTTTTATTTATTTATTTTTTTAAACTGAAACTTTTTTTTAACAACAATGCCTTGTTGTTTAAATTTGACCAAACACTGAACTTTGTATCACAGGAATAAATAACATTTTAAAAGTATTCAAATTAAAACTAAAAATTTGACAATATTACTGTTTTTACTGTATTTTTGATCAGACGTCTTTTAAAAACATTTAAAAAATTGACTGACCCCAACTTTTAAACAAAAGTGTATACATTTAACATCAAAAACTCTATACATATTCACTAAATAATAATGTGAGCATCAGACCATACTAGGACCTCAAACATTTCATTACAAATTTTCATTGCAGGCATATTAGATCAGTCAAGCCATGACTTCCTTATTGGCTTAATGGGTGAGCATTTCTTTGTTCTCATTAATTAGTGGAAGGAATACTGAATGTCGATTCTCAGTATGGACCAGAATGTCTCCCTCTACAGGTGGAACAGGAGAGAGCTTTGGTCCAGACACCCAAACAGACGGGCTAGGTACGCTTTTAGACCTCTTAGACACTCCTCCAGACGTTCCACCCACATGCCTAGTAACTGACGCTGTAATATCTTTCATAATATCTCCAGGCACGGCTGATAATGGAGCCCAATCAAAATCACCAGCTGATACAACAGGTAAACTGATGTTAAACAACATTCTCACCAAAAATCCTGCATGGTCTGGTGGAAAGTGACATAAAATGCTGAAAGTGTGTCAAATCTTAATTGAAGTTTAATCTGATTTTTACAGATTCCTCAGTAGCCTTTGACACAATGTCACATCCGGGTCATTCCTTCTTAGATTATTCAGGTAGGACAACTATTTTAGTAAAACTTTGCAACAAGGTCTCATTTGTTAAAGGAATAGTTCACCCAAAAAGAAAAATTCTGTAGATTTTCTCACCCTCGAGCCATCCAAGATGTATATAAGGTTTTTTCTTTAACAGATATTGAGAAATGTAGCATTACATCACTTGCTCACCAATGGATCCTCTGCAGTGAATGGGTGCCGTCAGTCCAAACAGATGATAAAAAAAAATCACAATTATCCACAAGTAATCCACATGACTCCAGTCCATCAGTTTACAACTTAAGCGAAAAGCTGCATGGACTCTCATTTTGACGGCACCCATTCATAATGCTAAATTTCTCAAATTCTGTTTTGATGAAGAAACAAACTCATTTACATCTTGGGCTAAGAGTAAATTTTTTCAGCAAATGTTCATTTTTTTTGGTGAACTATTCCTTTAACATTAGTTCATGCAATAGCTAACTAACAACAAACTTACAATTAGCAGTATATTTACTTACATACTTGCAGCATCTATTAATCTTTGTAAATGTTAATAAAAAGGTAATAAAAATGCAATTGTTAAATGTATTAGTAAATGTTGAAATTAACGATGTACAATATTTCTACAGCTTTTTCTAACTAATAGTGAACAATACTTATATGGCATTTATTATTCTTATTTATTGTTAACTAATGTAGTTAACCAATGTTAATAAATGGATCTTTATGGTAAAGTATTAGCCCTATTTTCAATTACAAAAAACCCAAAACAAAATATATATGAGATACAATATTATATTTAACAGTTTTGTTGTTCTCCTCAGATGGTGGGGCAGATAATAATGGTGCCGATTTACCTGATACAAATGGTAAGTTACAGTCAACATGTAACCTCACCTTTCCTTGCTGGAAAATCCCGATTAAAGTAGTTGTTGGCTACTTTTCCATGGTCCAAGCTGTTTTAGGTGGTTGACCACCGGCAGGGATTTCATCATACAGTATTATTTTGACACATAATTCATAACTGCATTACAGGAAATGGAAACGGTCGGCACAAACCTGTGGTAGACATACAGAAAGGTATGTTGAAATGTCTATAAAAACATATGAAACCTATAAACGAGAGAGAACTGCAGTGTGTGTCTGGATTCGTTCACAGGTGACCCTCCAGGCGTTCATCTCGACATCAGTATGTATCTAGCAATAAAACAAACACAACTAATCAACACACAATCACAACGTCATATTATTGACAGACTAATATCCTGGAATCGATGTGAATATTCCCAAATGTCTTTCCAAACAGGCGGAACAGGCCATCAGGACGCTGCAACAGAGATGCATCACACAGCTGGTACTATATTACCTGGTTCTATGAAATCACTGAAAGTCAATTGATTTGTTAGCCATAATTCAATTTTTATGCGTCTTCTCTTGGCTAGTCTGTCTAGAGTGGTGGGGTTGTGTGGGTTTACCAAATGCTTGTGCTCAATACGGAAAATATTTCTCATGGCAGGTTTAAAGCCATGAAATCAAATATCAGAGTTTTGTGGATTTTTAGTTCACATCACATCTATTTGCTAGTAGTAGTGCCCATTTTAAAAAAGTGGGGAAACCTAGTTATTTAAACATTAGTTAAAATGTCAACCTATTCACTTGTAATGTCTTGCCTTAAATGAAATGTTGCCTACCTAGACATCATTGGTTTGCTCACACAGTGAGGTAGGCAGCATTACTTTATGCATTTATAAAGTTCTTTGTTTTACCCAAATATCGAAGGTATTGGGGAAAACAACCCCAGAATGATTTGAGGGGAACTCAGTGAATAAACCCATCCAAAATTACTTGAAATATAGGCCTGCCTTTATTTCAGTGAATACTGAGAGTAGTTCTTAAAGAGTTAAAGCTTGTGCTGTTTTTATGCACATTAGACTTGTCATTCACCTACCAGCATGCTAACTTCAAACTTATGAGTTAGGTCTTCCAAATACTATTTTACATATAGAAGGCACCTGTCTATTTAGACAACTAGGTATCCCACTAGATTTTGGAACAGCGCTAATAAGTCATCACCAATCATCTTTACACATATATTAATCAAATATGAATCTACTTAGCCCCTTTAGAAACTATTTTTCTTGTTGCTGTTATTTTCAGTTGGTGCGCTTGATCAAAGTGACCACACTCTCAGTCCTTACGCTGACACGACTGGTAAGCAACCACATATAGAAGCCTGTTTCCACCACAGATTTAAAAAAAAATGAATAAAAAAGACTGTTAATTCTGATTTTTTAATCACACAATTTGGACTTTCTTGCAATTCTGAAGAATTCTGAGAATTCAGGAATCAGAATTCTGAATTTTTCTCGCGATTCCAAATTTACATATCACAATTCTGTTTTTTTTTCACCACAAAATAAAATATTAATTTTGTCATTCTTGCAATTGCGAGTTTATATCTCGTAATTCTGACTTTATATTTCACATTTCTGAAAAAAAGTCTAAATTATGAATTGTGAGAAAAAAGCCAGAATTATATTAATTACAGACTTCCATAATAATCCTTATAGATCAGTTTAATAAGTTAAATAATAATTATAATAAAATAATTAACTTATTTATTTTTAAAATGCATCTCTCTTTGCTTCTTTGTTTTTTTAAAGATAAATTTTTAATATTATAATTATTTTCAAATTATTTGTATGTAAAGCACTTTAAATTACCATTGTGTTTGAAATGTGCTACAAAAAATAAACTCGCCTTGGCTTCTCAAAGGATTTGACGGTGTCACCGGTGCAAGCATGCAGACAGATATGGCAGGTATTCTCTTTAAAATGTTACCAAACATACACCATGAGTGAATGTAAAAGCAGCACTGGTCTTTGTGCACGTACCTGTAATAATGGAGCTGACACTGTGATCAGGTGCGGCAGGTGATCTAGTGACTGACGGACAGACTCAAACAGACATGACAGGTGAGTACAACACATTATGCAAAGAAATAATTCAAGTAAATATGAAATATTTATGACATGCTCTTTCCTGTTATTCAGGGCAGGGACACTTAGCTGTGACAGATGGCGTGCCAAATTACACAGGTAACCACGTTTCCTCAGCACATCCAGACACATGTCAGTCAATCACTCATGCGAGGGTTTCATGTGTAGTGTGTGTTTCTAAAAAGCAGATTCTGAGCGTGCGACTGGGACTGGATTTACAGGTGAGTGACCTTTAGATTATATGAATAAATCAGAATGACCAAGGCACAGATAATATAAAGGTTCAGAAAATATGGATATAAATATATATATATGTAATAATCAGCTGAAGTAACAAACTGTATGATTTTTTATGTTGGCATTTCAAATGTTCTTGTCAAACTTTCAGATGCCTCAGAGACACATAGTAGCATGGTTCAGACAGACTTACCAGGTAAATTACGTTTGAAAACATCTGCCTCATCAGGTGGACTAACCATCCAGGTAAGCTGCCCTTATAAAAATGTACCATGGTAAACGTAGTTTCTGCAGATGATACTGAAAGCCCGTTTGAAGGGAATTCTACCATTTTACAGTACAATAACAATGATATATGGTGGAAACTATGATTACCAAAGTCAATTTTTGCAAGGGTTTGCTTACAATGCAGAAATTGTGTCAAAAGTTTATTAAAAGTTAAAAATGAAACAAACCTTTCTTAAACTCAACTCCAGTCACAGGGGATCCATTCACAGGGGTTTCCTCACAGACAGATGCCATGGGCACAGGTGGGTGACACACACACACAGGTATTCCTATCATTATGGGGACATTCCATAGGCATAATGGTTTTTATACTGTGCCAACTTCATTTTCTATCCCCTTACCCTGCACTCCTCACACAAAGCTACATTTTTAGATTTTCAAAGAACTTCATTCTATATGATTTATAAGCTTGTTTCCTCATGGGGGCCTAAGAAATGTCCCCACAAGGTCAGAATTTACTGGTATTGCTATTGTTGTGGGGACATTTGGTCCCCATAACGTGGTGAATACCAGTACAAACACACTATAAGGAAAAAGTATATTTGCGATTTTTTTCATTTTTATTTTTAAGCTACAACTGAACCTCAAGGGACTCTCAGGAGTCCAAGTAAGGTTTTATATACATACACTACTGGTCAAATTCTTATTTTTTTAATGTCTCTTAATATCCATGTATCTTAAATCGTGTCAAAATGTCATTTTTGATACACACTACATCTCTAAACCTGCTTTACCTGCTAACCTGTACATATTCAAGTAAACAGGGTAAATTCATCAAATCAGTTGTTTTGATGTAAACCTCTGGTTTGTTCTCCTCTAACAGGCCAACCTGGTGCTACGGAACAGACACAGCCAGCTGGTAAGCTTCATGGGAGTTCAGACCTCCTTCACTTCAGTCACATGATTTATGATTCATTCTGATGATCTGTATCTTGCTTTCACCTCAAAGCCATGTCAAACCTGTCAAGGAAACACATCGTTCATAAAACTGAATGAAGAAAAATTCTAGAATAGAAATGAAATAGTGAATACCTTGTGAACAGAGTCATGTTTATGTCTGATTGAGATGCAAAAATGATAGAGTGTCTCCTGTGCTGATAAACAGATGCTCAACAGCTCTTCTCTTTTCTCTGTTTTGCTTGTTCTGTCCAGTATCAGCAGGTGAACAGTACCACACATCTGGTCAGGGTCCTGAAGGTGGGTCTGAAATTCTATATAAAAATATCTATAAAATTCATATATTCAAAACAAACGGCCCAAACAATCTAATTAATATTGGAAAAATACTTAATACTTAAATGTCAACACATTATGGCCCGGTTTCACAGACGGGGCTTAACTTAAGCCAGGACTAGGCCTTAGTTAAGATATTTAAACAGCTTTTATAAAAATGCCTTAGAAAAATGTTACAGGTGTGCATATTGAGACAGAACAATGGCACTGACATATTCAGATGTCAGAGCAAGATATTTTCAGTTGAGAGCGCAAACAAGCATTTTAGTCTGTGAAACCTTTAAGATAGACTACAGTTCAAAACTTTGGGGGTCAGTACATCTTTTTAAGAAATGAATGCTTTTAATTAGCAAGGATGCATTAAATTGATCAAAAGTGACAGAAAAGACATTTAGCTATAATGCTACAAAAGATCTCGATTTCAAGTAAATGCTGTTCCTTTGAACTTTCTATTCATCAAAGAATCATGAAAAAATGAAGGTTTCCACAAAAATATTAAGCAGCACAACTCTTTTAAAGGGGTCATATGGTGCGATTTCAAATTTTCCTTTCTCTTTGGAGTGTTACAAGCTGATTGTGCATAGATAAGATCCCTGAAGTTGCAAAGACTAAAGTCTCAAAACCAAAGAGATATTCTTTATCAAAGTTAAGACTCTGCCACGCCCCCTAAAACGGCTCGTTCTAACACGCCCCCACATATCTACCTCACTATGTGGAAATATTAGCATAATGGCGCCCAAATGTGCACGCAAAGAAAGAAGCCGTGGTTTCAGTAACTTAAAGCATGTCAACATATTCTGTTACACCAAATACACAAAATAATGATCTTTAAAAAAGCATCATATGACCCCTTTAAACAATAGCCTAATAAGAAGAAATGTTTCTTGAGCAGCAAATCAGCATATTAGAATGATTTCTGAAATAGCACGTGACACTGAAGACTGGAGTACTGAATTCAAAAAAATATATATTAAAAAAACATTTACATTTTTAAAATGTTTTACTATGGGCTATTTTTAATCTTACGGACCCCAAATGTTTAAACAGTAGTGTACATGGAACAGAAAGCACGTTATAGCCTATGAAATAATTTCAGTCCGTTCTCCTCGTGTTTCACTAAAGATGCTCGATGAATTTGGACACTGAAAAGCTTTAATGAAAAGCTATCATTAAGAAACCCAATTTTCTGCTTGTAAACGTCTGTCCAGCTAGTTTGGCCTCAATGAACTGATCTGTGCGCTTTTTGAAAGGTGCAGAAAATGTGGAACTGGAAGATACCTGCTGATTTCCACATGAAGCCGCGAGTGAGGTTTCTGTGCTACAGATTTCAGTGCACAGACCAGAACGCCTGGCAGAGGAACCCTGAACCCGCCCGCTAGACTTTAGCTCTCCTTTGTGTGTGTGTCCGTTTGTTTTATTTTTGACTATTTAAACATTCAGAGGATAACGTTACTGTAACTTAACTTTTTATTGCGCCTGTTTATAAAAGTGCCCTGTAAGTAGGCTATTTTATTCATTGGTACAACGAAAGAAAAAAAAACCAAAGGAGTCAAATGAAAGAGAAAAATCAGTATTTAAAACGTATTTGCTGTGTAAATTTAACGGTTGTTTCCCCCATAAATGTCGCTACTGTATTTTCTTGCCTAGAAGTTAAAGCAATATTCTTTACCAATGTCACAGATTGTATATTGCTGAATGTATGTCATTTGATGATAATCTTTACATTAAATTGAACATCTATTTTGAACATCAAATTCAAATATTTGTCATTTTACCTGTTCGGAGGAATCGGTTCAAAAACAGGTAATGTTATTTGGAAAATGGTTGACTGTCAACCCTAACTAGGTTAAAGGGTAAGTTCACCGATTTTCAGACAACTTTGTATTGTTACAATGTCGGCAGTATACGTAAATAAACAATGGGCATTATTTTTTCAATGTTACCTGCACCAAAACATCCCCGTTTATTTGTCAGAAAAAATCCGCAAGGTGACGTAAACGCGTCATCCAGCGGGCTTTTGTGAAAACTACAGATAACACTTCCGCGTTTTTGTATCCCCGTTCACTGATAGCCTGATCGAGCCAAATGCATTATGGGTGTTGACGTTTTCCTATCTTTCTTCGCAACAGACATTTTTTAGTCGTGTAGCATCTATTATAAAAAAATAACAATACAAAGAAAGGGGAAAAAAGAAATTGGGTTTCTACTGCAGAGACAGTGAACTTTTAGTAAGACACAATCTTGCCAGCGGTGATAGACCAGCTAACGATGACCAACGAGAAACTATGAAAACCTCGGCTACAATCAAAAGCTGCGGGGAAAATAAAATCCAAACTACCTCCAAATACTTTCAAAAACATTTTATTTGAAACATATCAATACACAAAGTGTTGTTCACATGCGTAATAAAATAATTTATGCCTAATATTAATGTCTCTCTGGCTATGACAGTCACCCACTGACTAAAATGTGACTGAAAATGATCAGAATCATCAACAAGTGACATTCATCTCCCGGTTCCTTTACCGCGCTGTCTGACCATCCAAAAATAAACAAGTGTTGAACGATGGGAAGTCTATAGAGAACAGCATGTGTACACATCGCACCAAAAAAAAAAAAATTCCATTTCAATTCGTTATTTTGGTATCCAATTTGCACGTGAATCTCACAAAAAGGTTCATAAGATTCGCCTATTATATTTTCTAGTTCCTTTTGCTAAGCAAACAAAAACAAAGGAAAAAAGGAAGAAAAAACGGATTAAAAGAAAGCAGTGTGTGTTGCTGTGAAAGTTGGTTAAGTGTTGAATTATTGCACAAATTCTTCAAATCAGATCATCCGATACACCTCTTATCAATGCATAAATCTATAATACACTTATTGTGTAATTCAGCCCTGTTGAACGTGTTTTCAAAGTCTGAAATGAATTTGTTTCATCACAACAAACGCAGACTCTAAACTATTTATATATTCAAACGTATGTCCTATATACAGCATCATTGGCTGTCCTGCTTATTAGAACTTTCAACAGCAAAAAAATATATATGATTTTAGTACAAAAACGTTTCATTAAAATCTCTAAATACGCACCTTAAACTGACATTGTCAGAATACATACCCATCATCACCAACCAAGATCAGACATTATATGATGAGTAACAGCTATGGCTTTGAAGACAGCTAGTGGGATGCTGGACAAGTTTACGCAACATTGATTTTTGATGCTTGTTTCATGTTTGTCCAATTAAACCGACTGCATTTTCTGGCTATAAAAGGTATGTTATATTATGTTTTTTTTTGCTTTAACCAGCATTTCAATATATACTGCAAAGAAAATATTCCGGAAGATGAATATTTGGCATACTTATGAGACCTAGGTGCCGAATATAACAATCTGGGGGTCATCGCATCATAATTAGATCAAATAATAACAACCAAATAGCAGAAAAATGCACGTACAACAAGCCAGACTTGAGGTTTTTGAAGTTCCGCAGTGGTGACAGACTGCAAGAGAATCGCTTAGCATAGATGCAAATCCAATCCAGATAAATAAAAGATAAGCACACAAAGCATGGGCGATAAATTTAGATTTACATCTGTAGCATTACACATTTAGTTTGAGGTTTTCTCACTGCCAGAAACTACCAAACCAACAAATAAAAGCTCATTTTGATGTTTCAACTCCATGACGGAGGGTTTTGAAGGAATACTGAATTCTCTCTACTGTTTTTTAGTGATTTTTCCCAGATTAAACGTGAAGGGAAATACCAGAGTAACAATCTAATTGCTAGCCCTGACATGTTAAATGACCAAAAATAAAAACAAATGAAGAGAATACATTTTTAAAAAACCCACACGGACATACATCCCTTTATAAAAGCTGCTCTCTCTATGACAGTTTGGGGTCCTCAGGAACGGGGGACTGGAAATTAAGAAGAGAGATGGTCAGGTCTTCAGCTGGTTCTGACCCGAAATACGAGTCACCCTCCAGCTCCAGGAGGATGGGCAGGTCGGTGCCAGTGCTTTCAGTGCTGACAGGGTCAGGAAGAATCACGGGCTGGGACGTGTACTGGACCAGCTGCTTGCCTGAAAACACCATTCGTGCAAATTCCATTTACACCACAAAATATCAAAAGACTTCTACACTGTAAAAAAAATTCCATAAAATTTACAGCACAGTGTCATTCACACAAACACTAAACACCATCATGGTAACACACATGAAACTGAAATAATGCAATAAACATTCATTTACCAACATTAGGTGTAACATACAACCCTAATATACAAAATTGATTAAAAAAAAAACTAAGAATAAACATAGTTATTTCAACAAAAAAACTAAATTTGAAATGTAACGCAGGGAATTCTGGGAAAGTCAATTTACGGTTATTCACTGTAAATTATACGGTCTTTTTCACTTCCAAAAACGGTATACTACCGTAAAATTACATGTAATGTCCAATACAGTTTTTCACTGTATATAGTAGGGGAATTTACCGTTAACCATTTAACAGGTTTTTACTGTAGCATTTTTACAGTCTTTTATTGTTAAATTCACAGTCATGTTTTACAGTGTGCACCGTAAAACAATGTTTGCAATTTTAATGATGAAAGACTAAAAATGGAACAGGAATAACCTGTTAGTTGGCTAACAGCAAGTTCTCTCTATATATGCGGTGAAAACCTGTAACAGGTATTGTTACAGTAATATAATACTACAGATTTTGGAAACAAAAAACAATCTTCTTACTATTTACAGTGAATAACCATAACCTGCCATTTGATGGCATTTTGTTAAAAAATGTTTATTAATTTTTGTATGAATTATGTACATATGGGTTTGATGTTACATCTTATGCTGTTTGTCATTTTTACCACCTTTATTATTATGGAGGTAATCAGTATATTACGCAGTTACAAAATATATTACTTTAGATGGAATATTAACACTATATTAGTTAATGAAATGCACAGTTGTTTACCATAAAATTAATTTCAGTGCATAAAACCAAAAATACTGCTACCATATTTTTTTTTTTACAGTTAAGTGGTGGCAATCATAACTGTCGTTTCTTACTTCATTCTCGGGTTTATTTTTTAGTGTATGTTTTTGCATTTTAAAACAAAAATGTTTATTTTCAAGCATCCTAAATACCTGAATCTCCACTGTCCGCACCAGATTCAGTTTCTTTCACAGGTTCAGGTGACAGAAGGTCCTGGATCTGTAAAGAGACCGCAGATGTGTGATTAAACTAAGACAAGCAGTATGCACATTTCTGCAGATGAAAAAAAAAAAAGATGTTAAAGTTACTTCACACACAACTGACGCTTTTATGCAAAATGGAAGTAAATTGTTTGACAGTGCAATCTACAGTTTAACATCTTTACTTCTAGCTATGTGACATACGTCTATCAACTGAAACCATGTCAAATATTTTCCGTTAAACAGATCAGACGAGTTTGTTTAAAGTCTTTGCATTCTGTTCATTCTGTGAGCTATGGTTCTTCTGGAGCTGTTAAGACACTGAACTTTCGTAGTCACACCAGAAGTCTGCTTTCTCAATTTCTTAATATTTAGACAATCTCTGTGCTTTATATTTTCAAAAAAAAATTACAGCTGACAGAAAGAAATATCTAAATAAAAAATAAATCATATAAATGAATATAAATTTAAATAAAATAAAAAAAATATAAATCCATTTATAAATAAATAAAACTTACAATAGCCAGGCTGTCCAGATCCACATCAGCTGAAGATGATGTGAAAATCTGTGAAAGACAACAAACTGTTTAAGACCAACATCAAGAATATATTGCTGACAAACAGTAATACATAAGCTATAAAGAAAAATTTGCTGTAGTAATATATATATATATATTAACAATAAATAATTCAACATTTCATTACAGCAATTTATACAGGCATACATACATAAATATATATGTTAAAAAAATACTAGTTAAGTAAAAGAAATGCTTAAAAATACAATTATTAACAATGATGAGAACAACAATAATAATAATAATAATAGATCTATTATAATTTTTTTCTTTTTAAATTTCAAATTGATACTCTTACAAGTACTTGGTTCTTAAACTTGCTGCTAAAGACTGAAACAATATTTACATCAAAGAAAGGCGAGGTGTCGAAGTTAATGGACTGAGCATTGAGGATCTGCTGAAGGTTTTCTAATCCAGAGTCAATGGTCTCTAGATGATCACTTAGTTCTGTCCTGTGGTAGAAAAGAGAAAAAGAAAATCATCTCTCAGACACCACACACAAACCAGCCAGTTCCACTCTCCAAAAACCAAACACTCTCATTTAATGTTTACTTTTACAAAAGCAACCAATAAAATTCAGCAATTTTGCTTCAGCAATAACAGGAAGCATTTAAACACTACTATTAAAAACGGGAGAGAGGCCGGTCCCCAGAAAGATCAAAACTGTGATGATGATGTCATAGAGGGAGGCGGGGCTGCTGACCTCATCACATTAGTCTCCACTCAGAGGTAGGAGGGGAACAGGGATCAAAGGGTGATCGGGTAATTGGAGGATTCAAAACATGCGTCTTGTTTCAAATGCCATGCCACACTCCGTACTTCCTTCCCACTAGACATAATAAATTGTGCGATCATGCCATTGCACTTCTCAAATTAAGCTCAGGACCCCCCGAACACCCTATTTACGCCCTCTACCACCTCCAGCACACCTGAGCCCACCAACGACCAATCAGCATTCAGCGTTTCTCAGGTATACTGGGGCAGAAATGAGTGAATGAGCCTGAGAAGGCAAGCTAAGCGCAGTCAGCGTCTATGTGATCAAGCACAGCGTCAGGCGTTCTGGGGACGGATCGGCCGACTGAAATGCTGACCCATTATGAGGTCTGAGGTGTAGAGACGAGGTGGAGAAGCCGGAGAAAAGGCGAGAGATCTCAGACATCTGAGGATAACTGAAAAGACAGAAGCACAACATGGCACTAGAGACAGCAGGGGGCGCTACACACATCAACGGGCCTCAGCCACAGTCAGAAACGGGGCTGTTTCAGGGGGAACGGGAACTAGAGCCAATGTAGGCAGGGGTGAAGTACAGATCGTTCTGAATTGGGTTTTTATTGAAGTCCTGGTGTTTTGAAGCCACCAGACATTGCCGAATGGTTATGGAGTAGGGCTGGGCAAAAAAAAAAAATCTATTTTTCGATTAATCGTTTTTTTAAAATGACGTCGATTCGATATCGATTCAAAAAAGCCGCGAATCGATCTTTTCCGGTATTTATTTCTTTCCGATTAATGGTTTTTTTTTAAATGACGTCGATTCGATATTGATTCTCAAAAGCCGCGAATCGATCTTTTCCGGGATTTATTTCAACACATTTAAAACAAGATCTGATTAACGTTAATCTTATCATTAGTCTTCTCCACTAGATGTCACTCTTATTTACCTTGCGCGATGTTACAACAGAAAGCCTGTCATTCATTCAGCGCTTATCATGGCCATACGCGTAATTCGCAATGCTCAGGTGAAATTCTATAGTAATACTATAAATCTGCGGAAGCATTTGATATCACGCATAAGGCACCATGATTTCCGCAATGAATGAATGGCGGGGCGAACTGTTTTGTTTACTACACACATACTAAAGCACGGACGACGCTCGCGGTGTTTTCAGCTTCTGCCGTCTCACTATATGATGATATGAACACGAATGTCATCTCCAGCTGCTCTGAGAGTCACTTCATTAGCATTTTACCGTTTCATTTGAGAAAACTACCATCATATCACATACACAGCAGCTGTAAGTTCTTCACGGCAACCTGTCAAAATAAAAGTTAAGTTTAATGTTAAGAAACTGCCAGAATATATAACTATTTAGCAGTCTTAAGACTCAATGCTACTACTGCTAATAAATATTAATAAATCTTTATTTTTAAAAGAATAATCACATCTGTTTTCTTTTAAATTTTAACAGTAAACCTCTGTTGTGCAGCACTTTGTTTGCCAAAAAATAAAAGGGTTTAATTTTCATTTGATAAGGATAAATTAAATTAATGTTTTATGCCTTCATCTGATTACCAGAAAAATTAAGAACATTTTATAGGGCCCTACTATTTTTAAAAAAGGACCCTATACAAAAAAAAGAATAGGTTTAAAATACAGGCATGTGGTTCTTAATTTCTTTTTATTAATTCACCATTTGTAAACTGATGCTTACGGTTAATTTTTTAGAAATATCAATAGCATTTGTATTAAAACTATATTCACTGAATGTAATCAAAAAAATCGAGAATCGAATTGAATCGAGAGCTTGCGAATCGAAATCGAATCGGGACATTTGAATCGATACCCAGCCCTATTATAGAGTGTTGTAAAACTGCACTATTAAAACTATTTCCTCAATGAAAATCAATTATGTTCTTGGACAAACCTTAAAATCTCTATCTATCTGTCTATTAGGGATGTTAATTTGAACCGTTTAACCAGTTAACCGACTGTAAGAATTTTGACCGATTAATACAATCAGTTAAACGGTTTAAAAAGTCATTTAATTATTTATCTTTTCAGTAATTTATCAAAATATTTTAAAAGGTTTGCTGCATGGTTAAAATACGCTACGCGTATAAAAAAATTTGTTTTTAGGGGGAAAAACACAAATAGCATTGTAATAAGTCGCATTTTATTATTTCATTCAGAAATAGCCTAGGCCTAATGCCGACACGAAATGTTTACAAACATTATATTGAACACCGTAAACAAATCCTTTCAATTAACAGTAGCCTATTTAGAAAAGAACAAGAATTAAAAATATAAGAAGCTATAGCAATATAAAAGACAAGCCAAAACAAATTCATTTAGGCTAAAACGAAACTGAAACCAACGCTGGGTCTCATATTCGCGATGTATTTGAATGGCAAATTATTATTTATTATGTAGCCTACTTCACTCGCGTTCCAATATCCACATAAAACAAAATGTTTTGCATAGCATCACAGCGGAACTGTGATAACACTTAACGGCACAGATTTTACTACGCATTTTTTACTACATAACTTCAAAGAGAAAGGAAAAATTTAAATCGCATCATATGACCCCTTTAAGTGTAGGCTATATGCCTGTTTATTCGTTATATATATATTAGGGCTGTCAGTCGATTAAAATTTTTTATCTAATTAATCACAGGGTGCTGCGATTAATTAATCTAATTCATTCAGAAACGAATCACCGCTGTGTTGCTCGGAGATACACAACAGTTCTGCTGTGGCTTTAATCACAGGGTGCTGCGATTAATTAATCTAATTCATTCAGAAACGAATCACCGCTGTGTTGCTCGGAGACACACAACAGTTCTGCTGTGGCTTTATAGGTAATATATTCGTTGGCAAAATTGAACAAAAACACACAATATTGTATTTAAAATATAACACAATATTAATTTGAAATAAAATGTAAATATTAACTCCTTATTTACTGAACTGTTGTATAAAATCACATTTAATCTCGTGATATTCAGGACAAAATCAGCACTCGTGTGATAGCCTACTGCTCTCGCTGCTCGTGTGATGTCGCTTATCATATGAGATAAATATGAGCCAAAAATTCATACAGAGGTATTTTTTTGCCCCAATATCTTGAATTTTAGAGCATAACTTCGTTTATGGAGTTGTTGCTCTGCATCATATTTGTCAACAGTCAACTGTATGAACTGTAAGATGACGCACAGGTCTAGGGGTGGGGCCAGTGCGCTAACTGCCTTAAAATATTTTAATAGCGTTATTTTTTCATAACTAATTAATTAAGTTAATGCGTTAAACTGACAGCCCTATATATATATATATATACACATAGCCTAGCTATATGTTTTTCTCCGCTCGCAGAAGCGCTGCAGGTGCGTGATGTGATATGATGACCATGTGAATCCTCATGTTCTGTTGTTTGCTGCTTTTTGCGCATGTAAAATGAATCCCCGGGAAACAAATGTTAGTATTTTTGAACAGGTCACAGACACTTATCCTTTCTAATTGAATTAAATTCTAATTTAAAATAATCTTGTCGGTTAACGTTTAAAAATCAGTTAACGAGCGTCGGTTGTCGGTTAGGAAAAATAACCGAAATGAACATCCCTACTATCTATCTATCTATCTTTTTAATAAGCCCTAGTTTTAGGTCTGTAAATATGTAAAGGTGAACCACCAAGAATATCCAGTTAAGTACATATTAGTCCTAATTTTTAAAGAAAAACTTGAAAATTAGACTGATTACAAGATTTGCACAGTAACTTGAAGCAAATCCAACTCAATTCATGTGCAGCCGTATGAACTTTGATTTTATGTTCGGCTAATAGTGATTATTTTGCATGCTAGTCATGGGTTTTATTCATTTGCAAAACAACAATCAAATACACATTAGCTTGCATTTTAATTACTTGTAAAATAAAAGGCCCTCAAATTCAGTGCCATAGGGGCCATGAGATGAATTGACATATGGAATAATGCACTAGCTCACAAGAATATCTGGAAAAGTATTAGTATTAGTCACTATGCCAGTCTGCCAGGCTAAATCAAGCAGCCAAAGTCCACAAATAAGTCCAGCTGAACAGTTAGTTAAGAGCAATGCTTCTGCAGGATATTTGTTTTTTAAAAAAGATTTGCTCATTAGTTTAAGCTTTTTTGATTGATGTGGAAATGGATAGTTTACCCAAAAGTGAAAGTTCTGTCAATAAATACTCGCCACATGTTTATTTTTTTGTACAAAATTCAAAAGGAACAACTTAGAAGAAAGTACACAATGCTCCTTTCCACACAATGAAAGTTTTCATGCTTTAAAAAAGGACAAAACAGTGTTATTTTAGTATCACTGATATACTATTATAGTTTTTGTTAATATTTTAAAATAGATTTTGATTTAAATTTTGTTTTCACATCAATTTTAACGTTTTACAAATTTTGTTGTGTTTCATGTGACTATATAGTTCTTATTCATTTTTAGTTTTAGTTTATTTCATTTGTTATTTTAGTACTTGAAGTTGACAATATTAAATGACAGTAAGAAATATTACCTTGGCAGCTAGCTAAAATAAAAATTAAGTTTGCTGAAATAAAATTAGTTTTTTTTTTATTTTAATTTTATTTCAGTTAACATTTAAGTAATGAAAAATGGCTTTAGTTTTAGTTAGCGATAACAACTCTTGGACAACAAAAAAAAGCACCAGAAAGTGTCAAAGTTGAAGCCATATGATCATTTTGTGAGAACAGCCCAATAATTGTAATTCATAAACAAAATCTTGCCTTGCCTAGCCTCTTTCATGTTAAAACTGCTGTTTGTGATCCGAGACTGTTTGTTTGCATGCACATGTATTATGAACGTGCCAGAAAAAGTGCTCACCATCCACTTTCATTGTATTGAAAAGAACATCATCTTTTTTGTGATACAAAGAAAACAAAACTTTAATTTTTGGATAAACAATCCCTGCTGAAGCCATTAGGATCACACCAAGAAAGGGCGCAATGGGAATGAAGTGTTACTCGGTAAGGAAAGGGAAGACTGTGAAGAGAAGCAGAAGCTTTGATTGTCCTAAACCAGGGGTGCCCAAACTCGGTCCTGGAGGGCTGGTGTCCTGCAGATTTTAGCTCCAACCCTAATGAAACACACCTGAACCAGTATATATATATATATACACATAGCCTAGCTATATGTTTTTCTCCGCTCGCAGAAGCGCTGCAGGTGCGTGATGTGATATGATGACCATGTGAATCCTCATGTTCTGTTGTTTGCTGCTTTTTGCGCATGTAAAATGAATCCCCGGGAAACAAATGTTAGTATTTTTGAACAGGTCACAGACACTTATCCTTTCTAATTGAATTAAATTCTAATTTAAAATAATCTTGTCGGTTAACGTTTAAAAATCAGTTAACGAGCGTCGGTTGTCGGTTAGGAAAAATAACCGAAATGAACATCCCTACTATCTATCTATCTATCTTTTTAATAAGCCCTAGTTTTAGGTCTGTAAATATGTAAAGGTGAACCACCAAGAATATCCAGTTAAGTACATATTAGTCCTAATTTTTAAAGAAAAACTTGAAAATTAGACTGATTACAAGATTTGCACAGTAACTTGAAGCAAATCCAACTCAATTCATGTGCAGCCGTATGAACTTTGATTTTATGTTCGGCTAATAGTGATTATTTTGCATGCTAGTCATGGGTTTTATTCATTTGCAAAACAACAATCAAATACACATTAGCTTGCATTTTAATTACTTGTAAAATAAAAGGCCCTCAAATTCAGTGCCATAGGGGCCATGAGATGAATTGACATATGGAATAATGCACTAGCTCACAAGAATATCTGGAAAAGTATTAGTATTAGTCACTATGCCAGTCTGCCAGGCTAAATCAAGCAGCCAAAGTCCACAAATAAGTCCAGCTGAACAGTTAGTTAAGAGCAATGCTTCTGCAGGATATTTGTTTTTTAAAAAAGATTTGCTCATTAGTTTAAGCTTTTTTGATTGATGTGGAAATGGATAGTTTACCCAAAAGTGAAAGTTCTGTCAATAAATACTCGCCACATGTTTATTTTTTTGTACAAAATTCAAAAGGAACAACTTAGAAGAAAGTACACAATGCTCCTTTCCATACAATGAAAGTTTTCATGCTTTAAAAAAGGACAAAACAGTGTTATTTTAGTATCACTGATATACTATTATAGTTTTTGTTAATATTTTAAAATAGATTTTGATTTAAATTTTGTTTTCACATCAATTTTAACGTTTTACAAATTTTGTTGTGTTTCATGTGACTATATAGTTCTTATTCATTTTTATTTTTAGTTTATTTCATTTGTTATTTTAGTACTTGAAGTTGACAATATTAAATGACAGTAAGAAATATTACCTTGGCAGCTAGCTAAAATAAAAATTAAGTTTGCTGAAATAAAATTAGTTTTTTTTTTATTTTAATTTTATTTCAGTTAACATTTAAGTAATGAAAAATGGCTTTAGTTTTAGTTAGCGATAACAACTCTTGGACAACAAAAAAAAGCACCAGAAAGTGTCAAAGTTGAAGCCATATGATCATTTTGTGAGAACAGCCCAATAATTGTAATTCATAAACAAAATCTTGCCTTGCCTAGCCTCTTTCATGTTAAAACTGCTGTTTGTGATCCGAGACTGTTTGTTTGCATGCACATGTATTATGAACGTGCCAGAAAAAGTGCTCACCATCCACTTTCATTGTATTGAAAAGAACATCATCTTTTTTGTGATACAAAGAAAACAAAACTTTAATTTTTGGATAAACAATCCCTGCTGAAGCCATTAGGATCACACCAAGAAAGGGCGCAATGGGAATGAAGTGTTACTCGGTAAGGAAAGGGAAGACTGTGAAGAGAAGCAGAAGCTTTGATTGTCCTAAACCAGGGGTGCCCAAACTCGGTCCTGGAGGGCTGGTGTCCTGCAGATTTTAGCTCCAACCCTAATGAAACACACCTGAACCAGCTAATCAAGCTCTTATAGGCATACTAGAAACTTCCCGGCAGGTGTGTTGAGGCAAGTTGGAGCTAAACTCTGCAGGACACCAGCCCTCCAGGACCGAGTTTGTGCAACCCTGACCTAAACGGATGTGCATTTGTTGGGAAAACTCACTTGTCCAAGCAGGCCACACTCAGACACTTCTGGTCGTTGGGAGGCGGGGTCGGGGCAGTGACGGGCTCACTCTCCTGGAGGATGGAGTTGATGAAGGTTGTGGGGGAAAGGGGCGTGTCCACAGGTACACCTGATACCGCCTCCACTTCCACTTCAACAGGACACAGCTCCTCCACCTCAGGACTGTGGGCGGGGCTAGATGGCTCTTCCTTGATGTGGACCAAGGGGCTTGTTCTGTGATTTAAAAAAAAAAAGTTTTTTCATAAGACTTTTGAAAACAACTGTACATTTTTAAAAAACATTCTTTTAACTCTTGCAGGTGATCCATGTCAGACTTACACAGAACAGGCAAACAGCTAAATTGTCATTAGAAATTATAGTTTTAAATATTATAGTAAAGAAAAGGTTTATTTTAGGGCTATTAAGATGCATCGTGACATAATTTTTATTTTTTTACTTTTGACCACATTTCTCTCAACGGTGATTTGTTTTATGCTAACAAACACTGTGACAATGCTTTTTTTTTTTTTTTTTTTTTAAACAATTAAAGAAATCAATACATAAATATATTTAAATAATATGATCAAATATAAAATCACAATATTTTTTTTTTTTACATAATTATATGACAATTAAGCACATTTCTCAAATCCTTTCTTTGATTTTGTAGTCAAATGTGACTTATAAATGTGACAAATCTTTTTGAGATTCACCCACTGCAGCTATAAGAGAAGGTGAAACTTACCTGTCTTCGACCCACTCCTCTGTGGCCACAGGGTTGGACTGCGCCAGTTCAGTGATATCAGAGATGATTGGCCCTGTCTTGACAGGCGATTCTGAGGTGAAGACACCCGTTCCTGTGAAAGCTGTAGAGGAGGGCTGCACACAAGAAAACATACATTACACTTAACAAACCTAGCAATCACTGGTAAATTCAGCTCATGGTTTGAGATACAAGCATGCAGTACTCACAGAGAGAGCGGGAGACGACTCGAGCGAGTACTGCCGAGAGTATTTGGGCATGGAGTGTGTGGAGCTGCCATCATTCAACATCAGGGGCCTGTGAACAAACAGAACGAAAGGGAGAGAGAGGGGAAAAATCCCACATAAAATAAAGGGCAAAGAAAAGGAGTGAAAAGTTAGAACAGAGGACAACCACACATTTCAATATTTAAATCGGAAGCTAAGCTATCAATGTGGATATATGTGTTAATGTTAATCTGAGGTTGACTTGCATCTTTCGTTTCACTCCCAGGACTCTGTTGGACCGCGCCAGTGTGATCAAGAATTGAATGAGCTGTGGAAACAAAGAATAATTGATTACTACTTTTTCTATGACATTCTCATGTATATATAACTTCTAAAATACATTCAGAAGATACTGGTTTAAATACATCAGTTAAAAGTATGAATAAAACATTGTCTATTCATTTTGAAAACTGCGGAGTCCAGAAAAATATGGATGTAGGTAGGGCTGGACAATAATTCAATATCAATATGTATCGCAATATATTTTTTTTCAATAACGGTGATATGATTTTTAAACACATTTCCGATATTTCGATATACATTACCAGTTTCCCATACATTGATTTATTTGTGCCGTTTGACTTCGTTGAATAAACATGAGCACTGTTTCAAAATCATAACACGGCGCGGGTGTTTTATATGAATGTATCTCTGAAGGGAATTGACTGTCTTCAGAAAAGTTTCGATGGCATTTTCATTTGATCTGATAAAGAAGCGTTCATGAGCGGAGCTGCTTTGATTACAGCCATTACTGGAGAAACCGCTAGTTCTATCACTCTAAAAGCGCCTCCTGCTGGCAGAGAATGAGTTTTCATTTTAAATAAGTCCGTCTCCAGCAACATTTCCAGTTTTTGTTGTTGTTCAATTTTTTTGTTTTCTGCAGCGACTCGGAGCACTTTTCATACCCTTTTTTCTGGCTGAAGCACATTTGTTTCAATCTATAAGAATAATCAGCCTACACTACCAGTCAAAAGTTTTTGAACAGTAAGATTTTTAATGTTGTTTTTTTGTTTTGTTTTTTTAGAATTCTCTTCTGCTGACCAAGGCTGCATTTATTTGACCCAAAGTACAGCAAAAACAGTAAAATGTTGAAATATTTTTACTATTTAAAATTGCTTTCTATTTGAATAGATTTTAAAATGTAATTTATTCCTGTGATCATACATAGGTAAATTTTCAGCATCATTACTCCAGTCTTCAGTGTCACATGATCCTTCAGAAATCATTCTAATATGCTGATTTGCTGATTATCAATATTTAAAACAGTTGAGTAAAAAATTTTTTCAGGATTCTTTGATGAATAGAAAGATCCAAAGATCAGCATTTATCTGAAATAAAAAGCTTTTGTAACATTATACACTATTCCATTCAGTATCATTTTTATTATTTTTTTGGGAAAGAAATTATAGAAATTAATACTTTTATTTAGCAAGGATGCTTAAAATTGATCAAAAGTGATGATAAAGGCATTTATAATGTTACAAAAGATTTCTATTTCAGATAAATAGTGTTCATATCGATATCGGAATTATATCGTATCGACCGAAATTAAGAAATATATCGTGATATCAATTTTGGCCATATCGTCCAGCCCTAGATGTAGGTGAGTTTGTTTCTTCATCGGAACAAATAATCACAATAATCCACACAACTCCAGTCCATCAATTAACATCCTGTGAAGTGAAAACCTGTGTGTTTGTAAGAAACAAATCCATCTTTAAGAAGTTTTTAACTTCAAACCATTGCTTCTGGACAAAATACAAGACCATAATCCATAATAACAGTTCCTCCAGTGAAAAGGTCTCTCCTATTGTCTTGTCACATCAAAATGCACAACATATTTATTTAAAACAGTTTTTCCTTGTAAACAGTGTTTGATCTGTGCATATTTCTCTCCTGATTCAGACAAGACTACTTTTTCACTGGAAGAAGCAATATTATGGATGGAGGACTAGTATTTTAGCTGGATTTGTTTATTACAAACATGCAGCTTTTTGCTTCACAAGAAATTAAATGATGGACTTGAGTCTTGTGGATTATTATGATGTTTTAATCAGCTGTTTGGACTCCTATTCTGACGGCACCCATGACGGTGAATCAAAATGAACTGTTTCACACCAAGATTTGTCATATTATGGAAGTAAAATGTGATGCTTAAGCGATTTCATTTTGACTTAAACTGATAAGGCTGCCTGCGATGATGGATTGGATGAACTTTTAACAGCAAAGGGTTTGTTGTGAAAGACTTTTACCAACAAATGTATGTGTCACTCTGAAAGCATGAAAAAGTATAGCTGATTTTACCTTATTGACGACTTTCTGCTGTTGAGCATGTTTCTGTCTCAAAGTGGCAACTTCCCTCCAGAGCGCCTCATTCTCACTGCGGGAGAGAGAGAGAAAGATGTAATGTAAAGTTTGAGGCAATGAGTTCTCTTGGAAAGTGTCAGGATTGAAATTTTCATGCACGTTTTGCTCACAATGAACATAAATACGACACTAAACTCTGTAAACCGTCACTGAAAGATCTTTGGGGTGGTTGTTTTTTTCAGGGTGATTGAGTAAGGCCTGCTTCTTTTAAACTCCCTTGACGCTGATAAAATGGCATTTTAAGTGTTTTAAGTGTGCACTCACGAGTCCAATATGGCCACAGACACACGGCCTGAACACAGTCCAGCACACAAGAACAAAACCACAGGCCAATACTGGACATCACTGTGGTGGAAATGGAAAATTCAAACACAACAATGCCAAAGAAATCCTACGAGTTAAAGGACATTTGAAATCATGAACAAAAAAGTTTGAAAGACACAAAAAATAAAATTAAAATCTACTACGCAAACAACTGTATGGTCCTTCCATAAGCACAGATGCGTTGCCTGATAGATCTGTTTAAGAAGCACAACATATAGAAAACTTTACCCATATAGTGTCACACTTTAGTTTGGGGACCAATTTTTACAATTAACTAACTAAAGTTTAGGTATGGGGTAGGATTAAGAGATCTAAAATATTATATATAAATGACAAAAAAAACTACATTTATAAAAGTTTTAATTTAATTTTAAAGTTAATCTTTGATTAAAAAAAAAAACTAAACAAAATCTGGCTTCACTTCATTAAGAATCTTTTCATAAGGGCCCAATGAATTAAAACCATCACAGTCCATCAAAATATACCTATATATTGCTTAAGAAAATTAAAGTACAAATAATGCATATATATATATAGATA